TATATTATATATATTTTTTTAATAAATACTGAAATCGTGAAAACAAAATATCCAGTAGTTGATGTATATTTCATTGGAGTAAGAAAATAAGATTAATATTTGGCTTTGCATTATTTTTAGCAGCAATTGTTTCTAACATATAGGGGGGAAAAATACTAATGCAAGGCTATTAAAAATGATAACTAATTTAATTTACACCATATACTAAAACAATATATACCACTTCATTTTATTAATCACAGCATTCTAACCACACACTTTCCCTGCATCCTAGTTACAAGCAATACAGTCCTTGCCATCTTGTGATTTTAGCAAAACTATTATTCTTCCTCCACACGGTGTGAAGTCCTCAGTACTTTCAGTTTACAAGCCTATAGATTGACTCTGACCTGTTATCAATAGCCGTTGTTTCTACCACTGCCACCTATAAGCAGTAATGCCAGACCAAGGGTCTCACACATCCATCCTGTTCTTGAAATACTCCTGTGTTTCCTTATCAACATATGTGAAAGGTTTCAATTTACTTGATCCTCATTTAATCATGAAACTTGCACTTTCCCTGTTTTGTCCAAGTGAGAAATTGCTTTTCATGGCACTGTCCTCTCCTTGGTGTCTCGTCAATATTGCCAATGTAATGACAGCTCAAATTGCATGCCCTCATTCTCCCTGTCAAATTTATTACTTGTTTTCCATGATTTTCTTGTTTTTCATGATGATGCTACTTAAGCTACCATGAGAAAATGTGGTTTTAAACAGCTCATTAGCAAAAATGACTTAGTAAAACTATTTCTTTCTCAATTTCCTAACTTTTAATTTGATGAAAGGAATATTCCACTAGATACTTGCCTTATCACTAACTTCCACACAACAGCATATATTAATAACCTACTCTCTTTCACTCCTTTCTCCAGAGTTGTTTCCTAGACAAGAGAGCCAAATTTCTCCAACACTAAACACATAATATTTTACAAATAATTCACTAGAGACTATAAGAGCTAAACAATAATTTGTGTGTTTGAGGAAATGATACTAAAGTTGTAAATAACATTTTATCTTATCCAAAACTAAGCAAGGTGATTTATGAAACAAATAAAAAGAGACAGCTCCAAACCAGAAGACCTTAAGCTGGAGGCTAAGCAAAGGAGAATGAGGAAAATATAGACTCAGATCATGCTGAGATTCAATGAAAATTGTTGTGTTTCCCACTTTAAAATCTTTTCACTTAAATAGTAAATGACAGAAGACAGAGTGTCTCGATGAGGAAGCCAAAGGTAATACTCAGGCCAAAGGCTGCACTCACAGGAATCCCAGATCAGCATGCCAAAAGAAGGCCTTGTGGTGGGGTTCAGTTACCTGCAGGTGCTGAAGGCCATTTGAGATGCCCTTAAGTATGCCAGAAATCTACATGATGTCAGCAGATAGATCTACGGGAAATAAGTGTCACTGTAGCGGAAGCCTGAGGCATGCGGGATACACTGCAGCACTAAAAATGACATCAGATGTCTACATTTAGGCAAATTAATAATATCCTCCACCATGCTCTCAGCCCTATCACCCTCTCAGGTAATAACTATTGTAGTTGTTCTATCTTGCTGCCAGAAAATTTATACTCCCATTGTAAGAAAAGAATCAACATCAATGGCAAACAAGTAACTGCAATAGGCAACAGTAATCCAGTACAGAAGAATGCAAGAGGATGGCATACTGGTTGTCTTACTATAGTTCATTGTGGCAACATTCTTACTTTTTAAGGAAATATTTAAGGAAGGATAATATATTCATTAGGATGACTGATTATTTGTAGTTTTGCTGTCTTCTATAAAATGGGAGTTCGACCCGGAAAAACTGACACATGAGCTCTACAGCATTACAGTATGTTGGTGATATCATGGGAGTATTGGAGTGCAAAAGATAAGGATCAGAACACACACATTCCTGAATATCCAATTATCCCTCTCATATATTTCTGTTGTCTTTTTGGCTGTTATGTCACTGCAGGTCATATTTAGGAAGCCAGACAAAGACAGAGATACATACACATATACATACGTACAGACATACATGCATACATAATTGTCTTTTAGTGTAGAATGGCCATGCACATTCCAATTAAATATTTTTTCCAGGTCTGAACATCTCTTGTGAGTAGTTTGATGACTTAGTATTTTGATACACTCTGTAATTTACAGGTGACTTTTATTCAAGGAAATTATTTCAACTGTGTAAACAGTCAATCATAATCATACAATACTTTATTTTAAATGGTTTATAAAATAAAAGCTATTACATTTAATAAGGGAGAAATGAAAAAATCTCTATTAGTTAACAGACTGTTCTACTAATTAGAATATTATAAGGAGAAAAGAAGTAAAGATCATTTAGTAATGATCCCCAGATCAGTATATCCTGAGGAGTGCTTAATTTTCTAGAAAAAAAAAAAAAAAAAAAAAA